AGTGATCACTATAATGACACCTGGAAATTAGGGTGAGAAAAAGGAAACAAGATGTATATATGAAATAAATTCAACACCAGGGTATCGAAATATTGATTCATTTCTAAAAACGTATATATATATATAGAGGGAGAGAGAGAGCTGAATTGTTGGAAAAAGATACTTTTGAAGTAGACAAACCACCAATACAAAATTGAAGCATATAGAGCTGAATGTAGCACGATCTTAATCAAAGGCAAATTCAAAATGCTTGTAGTTCGGGAGTCTGATGAATAGAATGAACAAACAAAAGGGTGCACGTCAATCCCAGTCCATCAGTAGAAACGTGCCAGTGTAGTTGTAATTGAATATCTCGTTCATCATTAGACAATCCCATTCGTCCTGAGATGAGACCAATCGGTTAGGTAAGTGCAACAAACAGCATGTCCATGTGAAGCCAGTTAGATCGCATAAAAGCTGTGCATATATCAATCAGCTAGTCTTGATGGTTATACGGTGGTGATGCACTAAATGACACAGGTATCAATAGACGTACTTAACTTGATATGAAGATGGCAGAGCTCTGTCTACTTCAGATCAGACTGCCCAGATGGTTGTGGAAGAGAACCACATAGTATGCATCATTCAGCAGCTGACAAGTTCATATCCCATAGGTGTGTTCCATTTGGGGGATATTTTTTCTTTACTGCATACTCTGGGTTCCACACTCCTTGGGACTCTACATTTCTGGGGTCTGGATCACTTTGGTTTCCCGCTCTTGGGGATCCCCCATTTCTTTCACCTGCGTATCTATTTATTTGTTGTAACCTCATGTTTTATATTTTACAAATGAATAAGTATTATGTTGCGTTTTTGTCTACTAAAATAAACTTCAGTTTATATTTTACTAAATATTTAGAGAAGAATATGGGGTATAAGGGTTTGTGGAGGGGTGTAAAAGACCATCCAAGAGAGATATACTAAAAAATATCAAAATTTATTTTAGTGATTTAAACAATATTAAAAATAAGACAATTCATATGTCGAACACAACCCCTATACATCCCATGCAGGGTTGTGTTCGACATATGAATTGTCTTATTTTTAATATTTAAATCACTAAAATAAATGTTGCTATTTTTTAGTATATCTCTCTTGGATGGTCTTTTACACCCCTCCACAAACCCTTATACCCCATATTCTTCTCTAAATATACTGAATCTGGGGGGAGAGGTGTAAACTAGGTGCCCACAGGGAGGCAACCCATGATCTAGTATATTTTACTAAATGTTTGGGTTTGATATAGAGTTGTGCTAATATCGTTCAACGTAAGAATTTGCAACTGCCACCATTGTATTCTTCAGGGTCTTGGCTTTTCAGAACATATATAATGTTTGGGGGGTTTTAAGTAATTTCCAGGTCTAAAATGTGGATTATAACATGTGTGCAAAAAAGGCAATCAAAGGGTTAAAGGCTGTATATTAACATTCTCATATGAGCCCAAAGGTCATTTTTCTCTGAGGGCTTGTTCACACCAATTGCGGTGCGTTCCAGAGCGGTAGCTGCTGGAACGCACAGCAATCGCACACTAAACTCCCCCCTTCATTTTGAAGTGAATTGCATCACAGCCACGCCCCCCACCCGCAGTGCAATTGGACGTGTGGCAAAACATTGCCTGCGTTCTGGTCCACTGCGAATGCAAAAAATAGAGCATGCAGCATTTTTTTTGCGTTCGCAGTGGAACAGAACGAAGGCAATGTTTTGCCACACGTCCAATTGCACTGCGGGTGGGGGGCGTGGCTGTGATGCAATTCACTTCAAAATGAAGGGGGGAGTTTAGTGTGCGATTGCTGTGCGTTCCAGCAGCTACCGCTCTGGAACGCACCGCAATTGGTGTGAACAAGCTCTGCAGCTACAACATGTGATTTGAACCCCTCAAATGAAGTTCTATCTACACTTTTTAAAAGCACCACTATGCCTAAAACTAGAGATGCACTGATGCTGGTATTTCGGTACCGAGTGCGAGTACCGATACTCTGGCTTCCTGATGAGCCAGGAAGCCGGGCAGCGTGTAAAAACTCGCCACCCGGCTTCCCAATTAGCAAAGAAACCGTCCCCATGTTTCTCGTCACTATGTGACAAGAAAGCATGAAGCCGGCTTCCTGGCCAATCATGGCACCCGGCTTCCTGATCGGCCAGGAAGCCGGCTCCATGCTCCCTGGTTATGAGATGACGAGAGAGCATGGAGCCGGCTTCCCGGCCAACGCCGGGCACGGCGTCGTTACACGCTGGCCGGCTTCCTGATTGGCCGGGAAGCCAGCTCCATGCTCCCTCATCACAAGTGCTCCCTCATCACAAGTGATGAGGGAGCATGGAGCCGGCTTCCTGATACAGGAAGTATCGGGCTAGGTATCGGAGCATTTACTCAGTATCGGTGCATCCCTACCTAAAACATAAGCAATTGTAAATACAGATATTCACAAATATGGGAAAAACAGCAACACAGCTATCATTGGACAGAAACTTACCTTGAAAAGAGGTTTCAACTGAAGGAAAATCTGTCGTGTCGTATCCCCTGTTCCCTGCGTGTGCCGTTCTTTCTCTCTCCTCCTTGCTGCTGGGCTGCAGATGGAGCGGTGTCCCAGCAGGGCGATGCGTGTGCAGTGCCGGCGGGGGAGTGCTCTAGTCAGATGCGCATTTCTTCATACCCCCCCCCCATCGATGCGCCATCCAAGCTGACCCCTTTCATACACTACGTAGGTTAGGCAGCTGCGAGGCCCCCGCTTGCAGCTGATTGGCTAGAACTTAGCACCATTCTTTTGAAGATTTTCCGATCGAGGGATGCAGCCAGAAGGGTGCTGACAGGGGCACCCGCTGTGTGACTTTCACCCGGATTATCAAGAACCGGGCCGAAATTCGCATAGCGTATGGCCAGCCTTGTGGCAATAATCGTTGGGATAAATCATAGAATAAAATGTATTCTTTTTATTCACAGTAACCGTAGTTTGTATAATGATCGCGTCACAATAGAACAAAAATATTTCTTGTTGTTTTGTTCTGTTTTCTTGTCAATAGAACTACTGTAAAAGAAGTAGGGTCATTTATTTTTAACAAGCGGCAATTCAGCCGGACGTCCCATGAGGACCCCACATTTCCCTCTGAGGACCCCGCACCTCCCTCTGAGGGGAACCACAGCTCCCTCTGAGGAACCCCACAGCTCCCTCTGAGGAACCCCACAGCTCACTCTGAGGACCCCATACCTCCCTCTGAGGACCCCGCACCTCCCTCTGAGGACCCCGCAGCTCCCCCTAAGCACCACGGACCTCCCCCTGAGGACACCACACCTCCCTCTGAGGACACCCAGGGCCGGATTTCCAACAAGGCCAACCAAGGCCCAGGATCAGGGCAGCAGGGAGTAGAGGGGCAGTAGGGGTGTGGAATTCCTATCTCCCGATGCCCACGCACCTCCCTCCGAGGACCCCGCACCTCCCTCCGAGGACCCCACATCTCCCTCTGAGGATCCCGCACTTTCCCCTGAAGACCCCACAGCTCCCTCTGAGGACCCTGCAGCTCCACGTTTGTCCTCATCACCTCCCTCCTGGGTCACAGGTTTCTCGCCAGCACATTCCTCGGCGGCTCTACCTCTGGTCTCAGCAACTACTGGTAAGTCCCACTATGTGTATCTGGGACTATGTGTATCTGCCACTTGTAGTGCCCTCATACACAGGACTGTCATATAATGGACAGGGACTGCTGACACTTGTAGTGCCCTCACACACAGGACTGTCATATAATAAACAGGGACTGCTGACACTTGTAGTGCCCTCACACACAGAACACCAGGACTGTCATATGATGATATGACTGTCCTGTGTGTGAGGGCACTACAAATGTCAGCAGTCCCTGTCCATTATATGACAGTCCTGTGTGTGAGGGCACTACAAGTGTCAGCAGTCCCTGTCCATTATATGACAGTCCTGTGTGAGGGCACTACAAGTGTCAGCAGTCCCTATCCATTATATGACAGTCCTGTGTGTGAGGGCACTACAAGTGTCAGCAGTCCCTGTTTATTATGTGACAGTGCTGTGTGTGAGGGCATTACAAGTGTCAGCAGTCCCTGTCCATTATATGACAATCCTGGTGTCCTGTGTGTGAGGGCACCAGGGGTGTCACAAGGGGGGTGCAGCCTGCACCAGTGACACCATCATAGGGGGTCACACCAAAATGAATCAGTCATTTTGGTGTCACCCCCTCTGAATAGTCTGAACAGTTGTACAAAAATGTGTACAGCTGTACGAGAGAAGAGGGGACCCGGCGACATACCTTATCCCGCCGGATGACATCCCCTCCTCTCTCAAGTGTGTGTGATATAATTATGCGTGTGTGATGACCTCTCAGCAGGTGACAACTAACCTAGGGACACCTATGGAGGGCACTACAAGTGTCAGCGGCCCCTGTCCATTTAATATGTGAGGGCACACATTAAATGTTCCATGTGTGAGGGCACTACAAGTATCAACAGATTGCTGACACTTGTAGTGCCCTCACACCCAGGACTGTCATATAATGATTAGTGGACACCAGCGTTGTACTGCTGCAAGCAGCAAGTTTTTTTTTCCTTCATTGAGTCCGGCCTCTGATTTTATTAACAACCCTCGGCATGGACCTCTGTAAGTTTGGATTTGACACCCTGATATAAAGGAAGACAGCGCAGTTACAATACAATTGAAGACAAGATGCTCCGGAGGTTTATAAGGAGTATACGGGGGCGAGAAGTGAAGTGGTTAAGAAATAAGTCCGCAATGGCAGTTCCCATATTGCTGTGACATCATGCCATGCTCCGTCTGAACACAAACAATGACTGCAGCAGAGAATCAATGAGCAGGGCAGGCTAGCAGCTGCAGCCAATAGAGACTCGGAATAGATAAACCAGTAAAAAGAGGTTTTTCTATGCAAATGACAGGCAGCGTTGCATTCTCCAACTACGCCTCCCTCCAGGGCTCAGCCTGTGAAAATGCTTCTGTCATCACTGCTTGCAAAATAAACTGCATCTCCCAGTAGCAGTGAGCTTACTTCCGTAAATAAAGGCTGCCTCAGCCTTCAATGGGCTGCACCCTAACGGCTGTGACTTGCAGTATCGCCTCCTCTCCCCCTTGTGTCGTTATTAATACCAAAAACTCCTCAATACCTGGAAGAAAAGATCAGAACATGGCAGCGAGTACGTAGGGAGATGACCGCTCTGTTACATTTATAGTTTTGTCTTGGCCTGGCCGGTCACCGAAATAGCAAAGGGCTCATTCATACGCTTGGTGAGTAACGCATCCATTTACTTATGTCACTGGTTGCATCACTGTATTTAATCAAATCAGGGCCGGGCCGAGTTGTAGACAGAAGGGTCGGCCGTCTTGGGTGCTACAGCAGAAGGAGGGGCAGGTTCTGCTGTTCACAGCTCATAGAGGGGGATGCACTTTGACCTTTTTGCCTTGGGTGCTAAAGCAGGGGTAGCCAAACTCCGGCCCTCCAGCTGTGGTGCAACTAGAAATCCCATGAGGCATCTCTCTATGGGCGTCATGCCTGTGGCTGTGAGAATCTTGCAATGCCTTGTGGGATTTGTAGTTCCACTACAGCTGGAGGGCCGGAGTTTGGCTACCCCTGTGCTAAAGGAACCTATCCCACCACTGATTAAAAGGTGTGACATTTCAGTTTTTGGTGGTTTGGTGAGTTAAAACCACATGGCAGTATCTTATGTTTTGCAGGGAGACCTCTGTGCTGAGTTCCTGCATCTGCACACCTGCTGTGGTCATTATAAGAGGCTCCCAGTCTCCCAACATAGAGAGGTGGCCAAGGAGATCACCCTGTTGAAGTATCCAAGACATTTAGGAAGCCAGGGTATGACTCACCAGGCCCCACCTATAACTAAAATATTGCGTAGTCTGACCCTTTGCAAGCATACATGCGTTGAACAAATGTCAGTCATTCCCTAGCGCATGTTTTGACTCTTAATTGAGTCAAACTGGCCGCGCTCAGATTTTGATCTGTCGGATCAGCATACATAGGTTTGCTTCTATAAATCTAATGATCACAACATTACTCTTTGTCTACGGTAGCAATTTCCCACTCCCAAGCAAAGCTATCAGTACTGCTTTCTGCCACCAAATCCACACTTCCCGAGAGTGTCAGACTGCCATCAAAGTTTATCTAACACTCTGAGCAGACTGAAACTGCATCCTTCAATCCCACCGGAGATCATATATGAAAGTATTTGCTGAACTATGACAGACAGCTTCTCTTTTTCATTCTTAGTTATCAGTTTTTATTTGCATCTCTCTGTTTGTTGATTCTCCTCCACAGCAATAGGTACATTTTGTCTCCCCAGGTGTAGAGGGTTCATAGCCCGTAGGTATGAGCTCAGGTTTGGACAGACCCCAGTCTAAACCTGAGCTCCTCTGAACATGGAAGGAGCTCCTCCATGCAAGGAGAAAGCTTGCCCCCCCTGAGTTTGCTTTGCATCCCTTTGCATGTCATTGCATCCCACCCACAAAGGGGTGGGATGCAATGACATCATTGACCTTATGTGACCACAAGGCTATATTTGCTCAATGACAATCGCCTAATATGGCCAATGAGATCAGCACGCGCATTGTACTCCTTTGTGTACAACTGTGGGGTGAGGAATGCCCGGCCTGCAGCTCATTGGGTGGGTGGCCTATGGCACTTCTGTGTTTGTAGGAGTTCGTGTTCAGACTGGATTGAAACCAGAATTCATCCCTAATACCTCGACTATTAGGGAATGAGATCCCATGTCTCCAGCACGAGTGTTATAACTAGAATTATTAGTGTTATTCGCGTGTAGGGATGCACCGATACTTTGCGAGTACCAGTGCAGATACTTGGCATTTTCATGAGAACTACCAGGGTTGCAGCGGTTGCAGCTGGGACCTGGCTCTGGCGCTCCACCACTGTCCTGAAATCATTAGTCTGTATTGTATTAGAAAAACTGTCACATGACACTAAACAAAAATGTATCAGTACTCGTACTTGTAAAACTGGTATCTGTGCATCCCTTTATTTATATTTATAAAAACAAAATCATACAATAATACAGAGATGTACAAATCCCAGGAGCTCCGTGTGCTCCTTACAAATGACAGCGGCCTCCTAACTTCTGAATTTTTCTCTAGTCCAGTCTTGGAGCTCGAAAAGTATCGGTACATGTACTTGGTATCGGTGCATCCCTATTTGCGTGCATGGTGGGCTGGGAGCATGCAGCAACCCCTACTAGCGTTGTACATAGAGCCACACAGGTGTGGCGGCCTGTATCTTTGCATTCCCTCATTCTCATTGGTTTCTCACCACTCTATGGTGGAGGAGACATCTTCCACTTTGGTATCTGAATGTTTTAGTTTTATCGTGCCTTGTCTAATTTTAAGGATGTGTAGTGCTCACCCCCAAAGGAGCCGCTGTATATGAATTGAGGTTCTCCTACCTGTTTGTTCTTTGATCAGCAATGGCACACCGACACTCACTGACAGAATGGACTCCAGTCTTAGGGTCTTTTTGTAGATTTATTTGCAAGGATTAACAGGGGAGAGGTTTTAGGATCTGTAGGATGCCCTGGTGAATTCTTCAGAGGACTGCTTCCTCTCCTAGCAACCGCTAAGGCCCATAGCAACGGGATCCGGTCAGAGGGATCAAAGGTTTCTTTACCAATACTGCGAACAGCCAGGATGGTCCAGTAACTTATATGAAGAAGGGTAGCTATCTCTGGACTCAGGTAAGGACCTCTGGCTTCTTCTAGAACAGACACCTGGCATAGGGTGAGGGATCTCTCTTGTGGGTCCCAGACGGACGCTCTCACCAGCTCCTCTGCGGGACCCCTCAACAAGAAGACTCCACCTCCGGCCCAGCTTCCATCAGGTCTTTCTCAGAAGTATCTGGAATCTCTGTGCCCTCAGCATCTGCCACTTGCCAAGGAGCACTCCAGATTAGCAATAGTATCCTCTTAGAACAAGGCACCCAACACCTGCCACGTGTATGGGGCCCAAGCAAAGTACCTATGGTGTCCTAGGCCTCTAGGCCCCTCAGCACCTGCCATGTGCTGAGGCCCAGGCCAGTCACTTGAATCACATAAGCCTCCTAGGGAGAGGCCCCAGGGGGGGAGAGAGCTCTGCACAGTGTCCCCAGACCTTTTATTACCTGCCCTCAGCCATACCTCTGAGTCATCCAACTCAGGGATTGGTCAGGGTCAGGTGCATGGTCATAGTCTGAGGATGGATCCTCCCTCACTGTATGCCAAGGCTCCCTTTTCCTCAGCAACAGGAGGAGCAATCAATCCAGCAGACTCAGGGACACCTATAGAATGCAGAGTTCTGAATAAGTATCAGTATCTAGACTAGTTACAATCCAGATATTCACTAGATTTAGTAGTGACATTTTAGAGAGCGCTACAAGATGTTTTTCTTAGCCTGTTTGCAATGTATTGTTGTGGTCTTTGACTGGTGATGACATTGTATCTTTTGGTGCTGTACAATCAGAAAATATATCAATAAAAATGTATGAAAACAAAAGTTTAGTGAAAGCAAAAGCCATTGTCGCTGGGAAAAGTGATGGAACATCCAACATTTTTGTCACAGGAACAGGAGGTAAGGGGGACTCTTTCAATGGTGCCCCTAGATCTTGTAACAACTGTCTAAAGGGGGGGAGGTTTGCTTCAATTTTGTAGAGAATTCCTTTAATGAAGGGAAATCTTCCCATGGGTGCCCAAACAGCACAAAATATACAGAGAAGGGTTTTATCCCTTCCCTGCTTTATCCAAAACTAGAAAAAGTAAAGTTTTGGTTGTATATACACTGTAACAACAAGCCCGACAGTGCATACTCTTCTTTTCTTTGACCCATTGGGCACCAACAAGACCATATCCATCTTATTATCTATTCAAGTGACTGGAACAGAAAGGGGCAAAAGTAAGTTCTGACGGAATTTAATTGCAGCTACCTGCTTTGTGAGTATGTGCACGTTTTACAAAACCAGTGGCAAGAAAAGTTATGTTATAACTTGCTTACAGTGCTAATTTTGCGCTGGAGGGCCAAAAATCAAGTAGTTCCCCACTATGCCTTTGCATTATATTCGATGTGTTAGGATGGGTCCTCCATAAAAAAAGCACACCACACTGAAAGCACCAGTGGTAGATGCTGATGGCACCAAGCTCTTCAGTACTGCCAGTGCCCAGGAGGAGGGGCCAGGTTGGAGCAGGGGTTTATGGTGGTTTTTTTTTTTTTTTTAACACCCTGTCCTGTGATCTCATATGAGAGTTCCTTGAACCATTCAATCACCTGTATTATAAAATGAAAGACCATTTAAAAAAAATATATATATATTGAAACATGACTACTCCCTTCACCACTTTATTAGTAAAAGTGTAAAAAAGTAAAATAATTCACAAGGACCTCAGTCTTTGCTGTCCTCATCCAAGTCCTTGCATTAGAAACCCCAACAGTAGTTTACTTTGGAAACATAGGTTCGAAGGCCAAAAAAGAACTGAAGCTACAATGATTCAGTGTTAAAGATGGACAACAAGCACAGCAATAATGTTGTTTCTCTGTCATACTAATAATAATAATTACAAGAAACAAGTGTTCCTGTTTTTTGCAGAAGCTATAAAATAAAGTATTCATATATATCTGCAGTGATGACCTATAAGGGTCCAGAAGACTCATGTTTCTCATCATCTTCCTAAACAATGCAAGACAAGTCTACGGTCCGGTCGAGGGGTACATTGCATATACAGATGTTACAAAGGTCACATCAATGCATAGTAATCATAATAAGAGCTAATAACAGAAATAAATTGCCATGAAAGCAAGGCTTTAGGGACGGCACATGAAAAAGGAAGCACCCCTTGAAAGGGTCAGGGAATAAAGGGAAGGAGGGGAAAAATTAGGCAGAAACAAGACAAAGAAGAAGGAAGAGAAAGGACAAGTAAAGAAGGAGAAAATAGAAAGAAAAGTAGAGGAAGAAAAAAGTGTCCCAGGGGTTTGGAGTTACCCACCAACCAGTGACCTAAGATCACCAATGCACTCTGAAGATTGAAAAAATGGTGATCAAAATCCGAGGGTGAGTATTGGGAGATCCAGGGGTCCCAAACTTTACACATGGAGTCCAATAGGTTTTGAGAATTAGCCTTTAAAAATCTTCATTGATGTGAGGGCTGTTCTCTCAGTTTCTTTGTCCACGTCTCACAGACTTACCCAACTATTTATTTTGCACAGGAACTATCGTACCCCTGAGTTCCTGTTCAAGATCGGTGTCAGGACTGACTCTTCTTGTCCAAAATGTGTTTTTTTTGCCAAGGATCCCTGATACATTTATTGTGGAGATGTCCTAAATTGGTGCTTTATTGGGATGCAGTGCTTAAGGTTATTCATTCTGTCTTTGGTATATTGTTAGATAACACACCCAGAGTCTGCATACTTGCAATTTTTGATATCCATTGCAGGGATTCATACCTCAAATTGGCTATACACAGAGCCCTATTTACCGCTAAGAGACTGGTGGCAAGGAAATGCATATCCACCACCCCTCCCTCATTATCCAAATGGATTTCTGAGTTAGCTAAAATTGTAATGTTTGAACGCATTACTTATCAAATAGAGAGATTGGTGAAGATACATTTTTGTTAGTCTGATCCAGATGGCTACACTATCGTACACATCAAGGGCACTCTAGAATTTCTTCATGTTGTTGTTATTATTATTATCTAGACATACGAGGGTCATATGTGTGAGCTCAAGATATAATTTGACTAATCCAGGTCCAAGTTTCTATTTTTCTTTATTGAATGACATCAGTGTTGTAAATGTTTATATATGCCCAGTTGATTTGACCAAAATGAGTTAGTTCCTTGATATTGTTTTATCCATATGTACATATGGTGGATGTAGGGTTTCCCCCTTTTTTTTAATTTCTTTTTGTTATTTCTGTATTTATGTTATATTTGTTGTTATATGTTTTTTTTTAAATATTGTCTGTTTAAAGAAAAACTTAACAAAAATTATAAAAAAAACTTATAGTATCTAGACGTCAACATCCTTTCGGATGAGATTTTGGATACTCCACAATGCCTGGTGCCTTCCTAGTCAGCATGGTGACGTCACCCCCCGAAGTATGAAAGATGGGTTATGGTAAGTATAATTACTAAATGTTTCTCTCTGTACCCTTTTTAAAAAAAATGTTTGCTACAGTGGAGAGGGGGGCAGGGGAGTGGCAATGAAAAAAAATAAAGCACATCACACTGTGTATTTTTTTTTTTTTTTGGTAAAATTTCATTCAAATATCACACATGACATTTCATTCAGATCTACAGGCAATGTGTGGTGCGAGGCGGCTGTTCCCCATCGCCTTCTGCTGCACTCAACAAAAGTGCGGCATGCTGTACTTTTTTTTCAGTGCACACCACCATGTTCCTAACACAACATGGTGGTGACAACCCAGCCCTTCCGTGACTAGGCAAATTGACTTGTCTTGCGTTGGGGCTGCGCTGACCATTTTTTGCAGTGCAGCCCCAACGCAAGATGGTGTGAATCGCATATGGCGTGAATCGGCCCTTAAAGTATATACATTATAAACCCAAAAACAAATATTTGCTAAATGTGATAATATATTTACTTAGATGTGACAGCTGCATTAGTTTTCTTAAGGCTTTTTTCCTTTATCTTCACTTGGTCATTCTGCCAGTAACACACTTACTACCCTAGGGTGACAACGCTCCCTCACTGTACTGTATCTAATAAGGAGAAGTGTTGAAGCTTCTCTTCTGAACTACAGAAACTCCAACCCACTCCTTATCTTCATTGCATTAGAAGTAGGGCTTGTTTAGTTATTTTTGTTCTTAGGATTAGGCACTTGAACAGATAATTACATTTGTATTTATCTTCATTTATAAAGCAGAAGCAAAACTGCAGCAATACAGTGTGGGGTTATAGTTGGGAAGTAAAGTCAAGAAAGTAATTATTTTTCCTGATGATTACTGTATTGTCAAACTTTGAAATGGACACAGAAATGGGAAGTGCATCGCTCCAGTTATTACCAATATGGATTGGCAGACCAAGGCCAGTTCATTGAGGGCTGATACGTCAACACACAACTTTCTGTATTTTCTGTGTTGAAAATGAAACTGTATACAAGAATTCTCTGGACAAGTCTTCTGTCAGTAGCTTAGGATGGTGTTGTTTTATAATGTCACTTTTCCTGGGGTTCCATGATTCAAGGAACATAAAGGTAATTGGTATTTTCTTATTAATAGGACAATGCCTTTTGAACCGGGTAAGTCGCAGTCTGGGGAACAGTCTGTGGATGAGCCGAGCAGAGCAAGCCGTGGGGACAATGTGGATCCCTCAGGGGAATCTATCCAAAAGCGAATCCGACAAAGCACCCCCAGCCCACACAGAGGAAACACTGCCCAGGGTGAGAACTGGTGAATTATTTCTGTTAAAGAGGATCGGTGACACAGGAAATGACTGCGGACAATACTGTAATGTAAAGCTGTCTATACAAGGCCAATGTTAGCAAAGGATACAATTGATTACTTACAGCAGCTGGGCAGTGAATGGTTAACAGCTGAGCAATCCCAAGATTGACTTTTTTTTTCTTAACACAGGGGAACCCTTATTAATTAATGTATTATTTGTAACTGACGTGTCTGCTTGTGTACTTTTCAGTTCTTTAGCAGGAGCTTGAGCATCTCGAATCATTCAGATCTAGCTGCATCTAGTCTCTGTGTATAAATGTTTAATGACAATACTATGCTTATAATATGTTTTCTTTCTGCGTCTGCATGTGTCTAAACATACTCAGCATCTCACCCCTAGAGTATAATCCTAGCTCCATATTTATCTATGTAAACAAGCTATAGATCTCAATGTTCATTCTTCAACATGATAAAGTTCCCTGTACAACCAAGTGCTGATCATTGCATTTTATATGGATAAAAGGGTGCAAGCCTTTCATGATACATTCACATTTCCAGCCAGGCAGAGACAAAATCATAGTAGGTTGTGGCAGCCTAGCAGTACAGTAGAAGATGGACAGATGGAGAGAGATTTACCTTTTTATGCAAACTGCCGATTGCTGTACATTGTATTGACTTTCTCGTCTGTGTTGCAGCTAGCCCCCCTCGTTTTGTGTCGGTGGAAGAGCTTATGGACACAGCCAAGGGTGTCTCTAACCTGGCCTTGGCTCATGAGATTGTATTGAATGGAGGCTTTCAGATCAAGCCTATGGAGCTTCCACAAGGAAGGTAAGATATGGATTCGACAGGCAGTGGTAATAGTCTTGAGCGGTGAACTTAAACTAGAACGGCTTCCATGGAAGAACTCTGTCTGATTGGACAGGCTGTGATACCAGTTTTGAATGCATGAGCCATAAACTATACATTTGTAGAATTCCCCGCAGCCTCTCATAAATGTCAGTACAATAGATTGTGGGGAGCAAGCCACTCCTGGTCACCACTAGGGTAAAGCTCAGGGACAGGCAATCTGCTCTGCAGTGAGCTGATTGAGCTGCTTGGTCACTCTGGCCTCAGCACTGCATTCTGGAAAGAAGGAGATACGGTCGCATGCCACCCGTATACCTGGAAGCACAAGGTATTTCCCAGGGGAGTGTGGCCAAGGTGAGTTTAAGTAAGGAAGGTTCTTCTTGTTAAAGCTCCATGTTAGAGTTTCCACAGGGTTAAGAACCTGCTCCCTTCCCATATGACAGTGTCTGGCATGGTAATTGTCACTGGGTACTTCCGAGGGCTTCAACAGATGAACAGAGCCACAAGGGAGAGCGGCAAAGGTGAGTATCAGTGGGATGGGAGGGTTGTTATTAAGAGGCATGGGCGTATCATTCACACTTCATATGGATCAATAGGGCACATGTCAGCAATGCAAACCTCAATGTTATATTGAATAAAAGACTATATTGCTTCCCAGATATAAAATAGGTCAGTCATCTGACCAAATAAATACAAGGCAACTGAGATCACATGGCCACCATGTACTATGGGTAGTTCACATCCTTACAGATGGCAGAGTTTGTTTTCACTTCAGTCAGACAGACCCTATATGGTAGACATGACATAGGAGTATCAGAAAGGTAATACACTGAGGAAATGTTAATCATAAAGAGCCTGGATATGTAAATATGGCTGCTCGCATACAGGGCCGAATTCTCTCTCTCTGCTGCCTCAAGGCCAGGTTCCTCAATGCACTCCCCCTCCCCGCCAAACCCCCACTCCCCTGTCAGTCTACTCCTTGCTTTAACACTGCATGTAAATGCCTGCACACTGCTTGTAATGGTATGTGATATGATTACATGCAGTTAGAAAACAGTCAGTCTCCCTGGACGCATTGATCGTGCATCCAGGGAGAGTGATTGATTTCTAACCATATGTAATCATATCACATACCATTACATGCGGTGTGCAGGCGTTTACATGCAGCAGCTGTCACCTGATCATTAACTTGAACAGGTGACAGCTGACGCTTGTAAACACCGGATTAGGGATTCCTGCTGCAGGAAAATGCAAATTCCTGACGCAGAAATGCCTAATCACACCTAAACGTACAGGTATGAATGGGGCCTAATACACACACACACATTAATGCAGAATAAAACATCCACCCTGTCCACCGCACATAAAATAAAAGACAGAGCCCCATTACCTGCACATTCTCTGGTGATCCAGTGGTTGAATAATAAGGTCTGTTGCAGACCTTACTATTCCTTTCTTTCGGTCGGCGCTCAGAACTGTCCGAGCTCCAGCTTCAAGTAATTACTGTGTGCTGGAGCTGACCGAAACAGCAATGTCCGTCTGCATCTGACAGAGATGCAGACCGTTTGGCTGTCCCCATAAGTCAGGTACAGCTTACTTGACCTGGCAGCCGGCTGCAAGCTGAATGGTACCGGTATTTTGAGACCCCTGGAGTGTAGGCTGTGCCGCCCCCTCCACTCCCTGGCCTTGTGGGGAATCCAGGCCCTGCTCGCATATACAATTATAATTAGAAAGCATATAAAGGGAAGGTTTACATTAACACATATTGCTGATGAAAATGATTAAGCCAATCTCGTTCACATATACTGTATTTCTAAAGAGCAATAAAACAGACTATATAGGAAACCCGTCACAAGGGAATTGTACAATCTGTCTTTTTCTTGCCCTTCTTGTGAAAGTGCTAGTTGACACAGTATCCTCTTGGCTTACACACTTTTATTAGTCACTGGGCCAGAACAAGGATGTCAATCATGAGCTCTAACTTTTCCTTCATTCACTTGCTGCAAGCTTGTTCGGGGTCTGTAACTCAGAAAGCAACTAGAATTTTTTCCCCAGTCATCTTCCAGGACAGCCATCGAGATATAGGCTCCGCCTACCTGCAACAGGAAACACAAAGAAGGGGTCAGCTGTGGGAGCCCTTATGTTTATTTCAAGTCAGGTATCCTTTAAAACATAACCTTTCTTTAAAAAAAATACTTTTATTTAAAGAAAATCTTGAGTCTTGTCTACCTTTATGTATAATTGCTACACAGGCCATTTTTGGGTTGCCTGATCCAGTGGCTCCTTTCTTTTAGACTCCAGTCCACCTGAGTTTCCAGCTCCACCCAACTTAGTTTATATTACAGTTTATATTACAGATAATTGAGGATCTGCATGCATAATGATGACAGAAGAGAGCAGAAATTGGAGCTCTGAGATCACTCCACTGGTGTCACCAGATGGTCCAACATACCACATTCCAGCCATGATTGAGATATCAGTTTTATTGAACGTATCCTGTAATTTGATTTCTCTTGACGAAATGTCTTTCAGTCTGGAAAGAACCATTCGGGACATTTTGCACAAAGCATTCTGGGACTGTTTAGAGGCTCAGTTCAATGAAGACCCTCCAGTGTATGACCATGCAATAATATTGCTGGGAGAAATTAAAGAGGTAATACATTTCTTTCTGTTTTCTGCTCCATGACCTGTATACTAGAAGAAAAGTCTGTTTTAATGTGACATGGAAACAACATAAAATATGTAGTGATGAATGTTCAGGTAGAGGGGAATATCAAGTGCCATCATTCATTTGATGTACCTTTTCTTTACATATGATGGTCAGGGCTAAAAAAGAAAATTTAAAAAAAAGCCCAGAAGTCCAGACATGAAGACAGCTAAAGACTGCGAGCGTGTGTGTCTGCACAAAATTAAAACAAACAATGGCAGCCGCTCAGATTAGTTTGAAACTAACAAAAAGGAGAAAGGCACACTTTACTGGAAAAAAAGACTATTGATTACAGAGCTCAATTGCTTAAGCTAAAATTTAGACTCTCAAATACATTTGTCTCCACCTGCCCCCCTGCCTGCCTTGTAGATTGGCTCCAGATAAAGTTTCAGCTAGAAAGAGAGAGTCTGAAAGTATACAGCTTCTGCTAAGCTTATAAAGAACCCAAAGAGCTCTGAGAATCCCGTGCCATGGGTGCATCGTGTATGAAATATTTCTTTGTTAAAGAGAGATATTTAATATAGTTACAAAAATATATAAAAGTATCAGTATAAAAAATGTGCTAACCAAAAATCCCAAAAACTCATATAGTTTAAAGATAAACCATACTCCCCAGACGCTTCTTTTCTTAGTAACAAAGCTTAAATTGTGACATAGGTTTGGCTGGAGTTCCACTTTATGGGGGTAGCTTCATGGAAAGTGCAGTAACCCTTAGCAATGCATTATAAATAATCATTCTTAATTGTTATGGTAATACATTGATGAAAGTAAAAATCTCACTGGTTGCTAGGGATTAATGCCCATTGCAACACATCATTGCTCTGTAGACCCAACTTAGACCCACTTGAAATTCAAAGCTCCCCGATATTCAGAATGTCTTTACATAATTATTAGGCCATTTCCTTAAAGCTGTGAAAGGGAAACAGTGTTGCCAAAAGAAACCAATCAGCTTCACAATTTCTTGTGTCTTCTGAGAGGTTGAAGCTGATTGGTTACTTTCAGTAGCACAGACAGGACTTGTTTCAGACATGTTCATATAAAAGGGTTGTTGTTCTTCTGCTGGAATGTGACAGAAATATTTTTATTTTTAAGGCCCTGTTCTCATTTCTGTTACCTGGTCACACCCGACTGAGGAATCAGATCAACGAGGTCCTGGACCTAGAGCTCATTAAGCAGGAGGCAGAAAAGGGAGCTCTGGATATCCCTAAGCTTGCAGACTTTACCATCGGAATGATGGGAACATTGTGTGCCCCAGCCCGGGATGAGGAGATCAAAAAGCTGCGGGACATTAAAGAGCCTGTGCCCTTGTTCAGGTATGTTATACACACTTCCCTGTCTGCATCTTTCTGCCAGATCTCATTGTGATCCCGCCTTATTGTGTATATCACCTTATTCATCATCCCCTAGGCCAGGGGTAGGCAGACTTCATCCTTCTAGCTGTAGTCAAACTACAAACTCCTCTGGGAGTCATGGCTGTGGCCAGTGGTGTCCCTAGACTTTTTGCCGCCTAAGGGGGGTGTTGCTCAACAGACTACCCTCTGCAGACCTGGGACGCTCTGGCTGCCATCCCGCCCACGTCCTGGCAACCAGTGACATCTCCAGTTTGTGCTCCAGTATATTGTCCAAAAGTACGTACTTTCTCCATCTCTGGTCTGCAAAAAGAGCTTTTTTTAAATTTAATTTTGTTACTGCTGTGTGACTTATGTTTTGTGCTGACATTTTGTCAGGTGTTTATAGAATATTGTACATTAAAGACAACCTTTTACTCTGTGTTGGCGGACGGTTGCCAGTGCTGCTAAACATAGATTTATTGGAAGGCGTGGGTAAAACAGAGCTTATGTATTCAAAACTGTTTGACTGTTCCAGACGAATCTTTCATCCATCATTGTAGATTAAAGGATTGTGCTGTTTAATGTAGAATTACTGGCTTCAAAAAACGGGGAACGCTGGCCAGAGCAGCAGATCAGATGAACAGCGAGCACAATACCCAATTCTAGCGAAATCCACTCGTCTCTCTTTGGTTCAGTTCCTTCCTTTAGAGAAGATTAATCCAGGGGACGTACATGATTTGGGAGCGTTTTATATATGAACCATTTGCCAATTACATTTAAAGAAAAAATTATGTGTTTCTAGTTACAATTCATGTCTTTATGTTTGCCAGAGTTGGCAAAACAGCCTGGCCGGATTAATGTCCCCATATGACATATGTCCATAGACGCTGGGTAGCATCAGTTTCCATGAATATAATTCCATTTACAGTCTGTAGGTCAGCAGTCATACATATGGCACATAGAGTTTTATTAAAGTAGAACCGAAGCCAAACTTTTTTTGTTAGTTTTGGATAGAGGGAGGGTTATAACTAGGGATGCATCGATACCCGAACTTCTGGTAAGAGTCAGATCTCCCGCTGCCTGGCATTCCCAAGGGAGCATGGAGCCGGCTTCCTTTCCAATCAAGAAGCCAGGTGGTGGGTCATGACCCGCCTCCCAGCTTCCTGATTGGCTAGGAAGCTGGCTTCATTTGTTGCTAGGCAGCCTTCCTTCCTAACCAATCAGGAAGCTGGCCGGCATGTAATGACCCGCCTCCCGGCTTCCTGGTCGGTCAGCAGGGAGGCGGGTAATGATGTGCCAGCTTCACTTGTTGGTAAGCAGCCTGGCTTCCTAACCGATCAGGAACCGATCAGGAAGCCGGGTGGCACGTGATGACTCGTGTCCCGGCTTCCTGATTGGTCAGGAAGCCACGCTGCCTATCAACAAGTGACACCGGCTTCCCAGCCAATCAGGAAGCCGAGAGGCAGATCATGACGGAAGAGGAAGTCCCTTTAAAGTTAAGGAAATTTCTGGTGGTCAGCAGGGTCAAAATAACTCGTGTCCCTATTGGAAGATTCCCCATCTCTTCCTGTTCTGGTGACAACCCAAAATTTGGGATTTTCTTTCACTTTCAGTGACAATGGTCACCAGGACAAATGGAGACGGTGAATCTCCCTAACGGGGACACAGACAGCAATAAAAATCCCTCTCCACTCCATCCACAACTAAAAAAGAAAGTCTTGGCTTCAGTTGCAATTTAAAGGTCAACACATAGTTCTGATCTGTGTGGGCACTTCTGAGCCAAGTCACCCACCAGCTTATTGGAGACTCAAATGGCAAGATTTCTCCACAAGGACAGTGTTGCTCTCTTGTATGGGAGACTTGAAAAGTCAGCATATAGTTCAACCTACCTTCTATAATAAAAATCAAAGGTCCGCACCACGGCTTCTTATTCAACAAGCTTTATTTGCTTCAGAACAACATCCCACCGGACACTGGCTTCTTCCCATGCCCTAGACCCACGTTAGGGGAAACCAGTGGAGCTTTGATTGCATTATCAGAAACAACTCTAGTATGTATTCCTATTGCAATGCTGATGTTATAACAGGAGAGGATATGCTGGGATATCCTTTAAGTATTGATTCCAGATGTTCTAATTAAATATTTGTCTGCTTTGTCTGCCTTTCTTGTCCCACAGAGCAATCTTTGCTGTATTGGACTTGATGAAATTGGACATGGCCAACTTTGCTGTCAGCAGTATTCGGCCTCATCTGATGAAGCAGTCAGTGGAGTATGAAAGGAAGAAATTTCAGGACTTCTTCGACAAGCAGCCAAGTATGAACTTCTTCCATGTTTAATTTTTTATGACATTAATGTATCTCAGTGAAGCACAATGCTCTACCTTATCAGCCTTTTCAGGTTAGGGGGACTTAGACAGCCCTGGGCTCCCTCTGAGGACTGGTCATATGTTCCTCCTCTTGTTCAGAGACCACGTTACCAGTGTTTAGGCATCCGTCATGTGACCAGCTGCTAGAGGGAATCTTCAAACTTTTTTTCACAAAACATATTTGAAAACTTGTTTTAGTTTGTTTAGTGATATCTGAGGGTGATTCTTTCACCAAAGATCCCCCTAACACAATGCAGAGGTGCACAATGCAGGTTAGAAGGTCAACTGCATGCCAGAAGGAGGTCAACTGCATGTCAAATGCACCTGATAATAAACACTGAATGATCTCCGAAACTGATTTCAGATGTTAGGGGAACGTACCTTTTAAAGCAAGGCGAATTTGCCCATCAACACAAGCTCAAAGCCCAGCAGCACAGATCCTAATAAAGGCCCAATTGGCCGACTCTGCTTGCTCTCCCTCTCACAATATTCTGACGTGCAGAGAACTATTGAAATGTTAACTGTATTTTAACATATATAACCTGTTTCAGTGCAGCATGTTAAATGCAAACTCTTCCCTCACCAGCAGCACATAGTCAGCTACCAGAAGCAAAAAAAAGTACCCACTACTTCTGGGTATGAATAGGCGTGTGACATTCATTGTGACAGTGCTAGGCCAATCAATGTTGTCACATGCATCTGTAGCATTGGGTAAGCCATAACTTTCAGCAAAGTGTAGTTTACACAAGGTGGATTCTTCTACAGCCTGCCACTGAATAGAGCAGCGGGGGAATGGAGAAATGGTGAGTATGTACTGCTGGGGATTAAAGTAAACCTTCAATTTGCTCAGCAAGGGCAAATTACCTGTTTTCATTGACGGCACTCTTTAAAAGTATGCACAATATTGAGGCACCCCGGTCTGAAATGTAAAAAACATAATGTGGTTACCCTCAAAATCTATAGCAAACCTTTATTCTAGATAGAAGTCTGGTATGTATTTTAGCGGGGACACGATGCAAAAAAACAAAACAAAAAAAGACATACAGGGGAATTTGCCAAAACTGGAGCAGAAGAATCTGGAGCAGTTGCCTATGGCAACCAATCAGCTTCCCTCTTCAGCTTGACAATTAAGCTATGAAAATGAAAGAGAGAAGCTGATTTACCACGCAAAACTGCTCCAGATTTTGTCTGCTCCCGTCTTTATAATTTCCCCCTAACTATAGTGCCCCCCCTTCACATTGAAAGCCCGCCCATTCCCCTCAAAGTCCACCCCTTTCACATTAGAGTCCCTCATCATCAGGAGCCCCCTTCACATCAGAGTCCTCCCTTTCACATCAGAAGCCCCCCCCCCCATAATCATCATCTCCACAGCGCATTAGCAGCAGCATGGTAGAGGGCAGGAGGTGGAGCATGTCTGGACGGAGGTGGACTTCTGTCCTCTTCTAAATGCTGGGGAAGGTCTTGGATGCAGTCTACCCTGGATTAGTGTCATGCAAATCCATGGTGCTGGTGGACGACTTGCCTGCACCATGGAACTGCATGACACTATGTGAAAATTTTAAGGCACCTTTGATAGCGCCAGAAGGCACCTCAGGGTGCAGTGGCACCCTGGTCGAGAAAGGCTGTCGCAGAGGTCTAACTTAAGCAGCATTCTTATTGGATGCTATGGATTATTACGTTTGAAAATTGGCACTTTTTTATGAGAACCGTTTATTAAATTAATTAAAACAATTCATTATATTTTTTTTAACAAATACTTAACTGGATTAAAAAGTTAATGTACTCACCATTTCAATGTAACGTGTTTGTTTGTATTGCCGTGCCGTAGTTAATTTTATTTTCGTTTTAAACAAAAAGTATCTTCAGCAAGTTCTTAATGGAAACAATCTGAGTTTTATACTCTGCTGTTGTTTCATTCATACTTACTGCATAATTATAGAACAATTCCCTTCAGTCTTATCTAGAACTGGAAAACAAAAAGATCACTTTCCTTGGAGAACGGCCCTATTATCTTCAGTGTTGGGCTCTGCAGTGTGCATGCAGTAATATATGTATGTTTCCTGGGACAGATTTTCATATAAAGGTTTATAATAGCTGCCAGCACTCCAAGTCACTGAATTCATCAGCAAGCAATGTTTCAAGGTTCCACAGAACCTTTGTATGATGATATGACCTTGATCTGTTGGGTTCTAATGACCAACTAAACATACGTACCACTGAAGCCTTGATGAAGGGAGTCCTGCTTGGCCTTGAAACTTTGCATTTATGTTAAAGTCTTGAAACTTCAATAAATTCTTCTTAAGGAAGACTGAGAAGATATGTTGGTGACCCATGTCATGACACGTCATCTACATGTTATAAGAACAGCACCACTTCAGCACCCGTCACAATGGTGTAGGGATGCACCGATACTTTTCGAGTACCAGTGCCGATACTTGGCATTTTCATGAGAACTACCAGGGTTGCAGCGGTTGCAGCTGGGACCGGGCTCTGGCGCTCCACCACTGTCCTGAAATTATTAGTCTGTATTGTTTTAGTAAAATTGTCACATGAAAATAAACAAAAATGTATCAGTACTCATACTTGTAAGTACTTGGGCAAGTACCAGTACTCGTACCCGCAAAACTGGAATCGGTGCATCCCTTTATTTATATTTATAAAACCAAAATCATACATGAAAACAAAGATGTACAAATCTCATTAGCTCCGTGTGCTCCTTACAAATGACAGCTGCCTCCTAACGTTTGAATTTTTCTCTAGTGTAGTCTTGGAGCTGGAAAAGTATCTGTACATGTACTTGTACCGAGTACTGTACTTGGTATCGGTGCATCCCTAGTCTTGAGTGTAAGATGCGCCATCAAATTATATCACTTCAGGACCCATAAGCTGCAAGGAGGTGTTACCACTAAGGCACGATGCTTTCCACATTGCTGAAAGTAGAAAGGGGAAATAGAAGAAGGTGGAAAGCTAGGCAATAGCAGGAACAGAGTTTCTCCAACAGTGCAAAGATGTAATATAGACATGTGCGATTCATTTCGTTCCGACATTTGGACATATCCGAATTTCCGAATCCCAATGCACCCGAATGTGTCTGAATCCGAATTTCGGTTTCTGAATCTCGGATCCCGTCCGAATTTCGTTCAAAAGCAGAAACCGAATTGTACATGTGACTTTTCTGGCCACCAGATGTGTTTTTCGGTTTAACGCATCCAAATGGGTCTAAACACGAGTTTTTGTTACAGCAACAAGGGAGCCATCTGATTGGCCAGAAAAGTCACATGCTGTAACGAAAATTTGTGTTCAGTATATACTGTACATATAATACTAAAGCTGAGGTTCCTAGACCCGAATGGCATTCGGGATCCAAATGCAATTTGGAAATTTGGATCCCGAATGCCATTCGGGTCTGGGAGCCCCAGCTTTAGTAATATATGTATATGGCTCGCACACCCTAATAGCATACGGGAGCACCTGAAGGCAATTTGTAAATTCAGAACCCGAATGCAATTCGGGTCTGGGAGCCATATACATATATTACTAAAGCTGAGGCTCCCAGACCCGGATGGCATTCAATAACCAAAAATCTGATTGGTTGCACATTGCTGTTTGCTATCTTGAGTAAGCCACCATACAGCTACAAAACTAGAGTTGTGATGCTTAAAGTGGGTGGAACCTTTACAGTTTGAGGTGAGCCCGACAATACTATTTATTACAGGCATTTTTATAGTGGCACAATTTACATACTATTCAATCACATCAGTCCCTGCCCCCAAAGGATCTTACAATCTAATGTCCCTATCAAACATGCACACATTTAATAGGGCCGATTGACACAGAAGCCAATTAACCTTCCAGCATGTCTCTGGACGGTAGGAGAAAACCGGAGTACCCAGAGAAAACCCACACAAGCACAGGAAGTACATGCAAACTCCATGCAGATAGTATCCTGGCTGGTATTTGAATTAAGGATGACACTTTTGCAAGGCAGGAGTGCTAACCACTTAGCCACTATGCTGTCCCCGTACAGCTGGAAAACTCAGCGCCCCCCACTGTCTTTGATCTTTGCATTGTCCTCTTATATTCTGTTTGTAATGTTCTGTGTACTTTTTGTTTTCAGATTCTCTGGATTGTGTAACCAGTTGGCTTCAGGAAACAGTCAGCGAGATGTACTCCAAGGATTCTGCTGGAGCTTCTTCTGGACCCCCATGCCCTGTGTCTGTGTTAAATCATGCCTACCTGAAGCTTCTCGCATGGAATCATGAACAGAAACCTTTCCCAGAGGTACAAATGACTAACTATTGCTTGACTGCACACTAATTGGAGAAAAGGAGTTGAGGACTGTAAGAATATCTTTGAAACAGTGCCATGGTATTTGTAATGCTGCTTTTCACTGCTAATATTAACCTGGGACCCGTAAAAGAAACCTCGGCTGAGAGAAATACAGGGGGTGCCATTGCTAACATCCTCTGGAAATGCTAGTTGCATGGCGACCTCATCCACTTCTGGAAATACTAGTTGCATGGCGACCTCATCCACTTCTGGAAATACTAGTTGCGTGGCGATCACGCTGACCGCTTGTCTTCAGTATTTTCATAAACATTAGACAGCCGTTGAAGTCAGAACTCTTGACCTTGATGATTGTTTTAGAAGACCAACCATTCAATAAGCCTTCTAGCCAATCAACTGGCATTTTTAGAAGGGGTCTACAATGATAATGGTAACCCCTGGCAATAATTGCAATCAGTTAGCAAACTACTGATTCATTCCGGACATTATAACTATTCTAAAGTCAAAAGACCTTTAGCAAAATAAAAATAAAAAACCACCCACATTAATAAAATAAACATTGTGCATTTATTTGGTTCTTGCATTGAAGGCCACAGAGCATTGTAATTGTGATCAGTGCATTTTAGTTTAAAATGGGCTTTCAGTGCATTCCAGGGTGTTTGCATGCGTTTTGATGTGTTTGCATGTGTTCCAGAGCAGGTAAAATAGGGCTTGCTGCAGTTTTTTTTTTACATGCTCTGGAACCGAACGCTGAGTTGTGAACTAGAGTCCAAAATGCCATTTGGAATACATTGGACGCAGTTTTGATCCGGTCTGTAGCTGCTCTGCTCCTGGAACGCGCTTGGTGTGAACAAGGCCTAAATGGATTGCGGCGGTGCAGGCGGAAACACACACAGCCGAACTAATAACAAATTAGAGGACCTTCCAGGGAGGAGCCCCCCACAATACTGGCAACTGGGGGCAATTTGAGGGTGAGAGGTTAGAGAATGAGACCACACTTCATGTTACTGCCTAAATATGGACATGAAACATGGTCACAAAGGTGGTATGTGCCCTTCTAGTAATCCCGGCCTGTTAACAAAAAGCAGGTGTATACCTACCTAAGTCTGACACAGATCAGCTCCTGCTGCCACCTCCCACCCTGTGACTCACTACAAATGTATTTACAATATACAGTCTGAGAGAGGAGACTGAGGAAATGCTTCTTCCTGCCTGTAGCAGACTGAGACATCCACTCGGGCTAGGCAAATTCACTTGACCGTAGCTCAAGGACTGATTTAGAATGATTTTGTGAGCAACTACTGTATACTGTTTCTGTACCTTGGGTCCGAAATATAGAATACAGATTTATACAAATACAGAAAGGTCGACTTTAAGCGAAAGTATAATATGTCTTAATGTGATGTTTCTAGAAGGTCCTCTGGTTTCTGGTTATTTTCAGACTGACAATGCAATATGTTTCCTCCCCGTAGACCGTTGTGATGGACCAGATCCGATTTCAGGAGATGAAGCTGGAATTGTTGAAGCTCACCTTGCTGGGGACTGTGCTGCTTATAACGCACAACTCTGCTGGTCCAGCTGTCTCAGGCCTTGCAGGTTTTACAGACCAGATGAAGAGTCTCATCAGGCTTTTGCTAGAGGGAGTGGGAACTCCGTAAGTACTCCCATCAATTTAGTGGGATGGCAAGAATAATGTGGATGCTTTGAGCATTGCAGAGCCCTCTTGCTTCCATTCCTATGCAGGGGGCCTTCTTACGGCAGATCATAGCTTCGTTTTCTAAAGTATTGTCTTTTATTTGTCATGTGTTAGTGGAAGACCTTCTTCATTTTTGTGTGACGCATGACATCCATTAGTAAGGTGATTATTAATAATTGCGTTCTTCTCCGCTCAGAGGTGTGAATACAGACGACGTTCTCGCCACGCTCAGTGAGAGGATCTGCGTGGAAGTGGCCAAGTGCCTGAGTCAGCACGGCTCCACTCCCTTCTCTTCAGAGAGAGAGGAATCTCTTAAAGGACAGATCCAGACCGCCTCATCTCCATCCAATCAGATATATCGAATAATAGGTAATTTATTTTTGTATACTTTAATAATCAGAATAAATAAATTACCTGTTTTTGTTAGGTTGTCTCAGAACTTGTAGAAGGCTTCTCATGTCCTGACACACTTCCTGAGGGTACAGTTTAAAAAGGGATCTGTTTACGGTGGGGCTGATTTGTAAATCCTCCGCCCACAGTATAGCTGGGCAGATGCCATTCGCATGATTACTATGGCCATTAGAGAGCGCTGATGAGCATATACATTTCCTATACCCCCAGCGCCGTCTAGTGGCGATAGTGTGAATGCCATCCGCACAGCATATAGCTTGGTGGAACTTTTTTAAAATCAGCCCCTATGTGTACAGTGCTCACAAAGGCTTCTGGGTAAACTTGAACAGCACATGCAGCAGACATTATTATTATTATTATAATACAGGATTTATATAGTGCCAACAGTTTGCACAGTGCTTTACAATATAAGGTAGACATTACAGTCACAATACAATTCAAGACAAGATGGTAAGGCGGGCCCTGCCCGTGAGGGCTTACAATCTAAAAGGGAGGGGGAAGTGATACATGAGGAGGTAGCTGTGTGGGGATGAATTGTTTGAGAACGTGATGGTTGAGTGGTTAGGTTGAGGTGCGATAGGATTCCCTGAAGAGATGAGTCTTAAGGGATCGCCTTAAGGCAGTCATAGTGGGAGATAGTCGGACAGGTTGGGGTAAAGAGTTCCAGAGGATGGGAGAAACTCTAGAGTAGTCGTGGAGGCGAGCATTGGAGGAGTTGACGAGGGAGCGGGAAAGCAGGAGGTCTTTGGAAGAGCAGATGGGACGGTTAGGGTGATACTTTGAGACCAGGTTGGAGATATAGCCGGGGGCAGAGCTGTGGATAGCTTTGTAAGTGGTTAATATTTTGAATTTTATCCTTTGGCCTATTGGAAGCCAGTGCAGGGATCGGCAGAGGGGAATTGCAGACACTGAGCCGTTGGTTAGGTGGATGAGTCTAGCAGCTGCATCCATGATAAACTGAAGGGGGGATAGCCTGTGTAGTGGAAGGCCAATGAGGAGGGAGTTGCAATAGTCAAGAGATAACAAGGGAGTGGATGAGGAGTTTTGCGGTTTCTTTGGTGAGGAAAGGGCGTATTTTGGAGATGTTAGGAAGGTGAAGGCGGCAGGATTTGGATAGTGATTGGATGTGGGGAAGAAAGGTGAGGTCCGAGTCAAGGATGACACCTAGGAGCTTGGCATGGGTGGAGGGATGGATAGTTGTGTTATCAATCTCAAGGGGAAAGTTGGGGGAAGGTGCACGGGCAGGAGGAAATACCATGAGCTCAGTTTTTGAAAGGTTGAGTTTTAAGAAGTGTTGCGACATCCAGACGGATATGTCAGTTAGTAAATTAGTGACACGAGAGGACACAGAGGGGGTGAGTTCATTGTGGGGTAGAAAGATATATTTGAGTGTCATCGGCATAGAGATGGTATTGGAAGCCATGTGAGGTTATTAACTGACCAAGACAGGTGGTGTAGATAGAGAAAAGAAGAGAAGGGGTCCAAAGAAGGAGCCTTGGGGGACCCCTATAGGAAGAGGAGGGGAGGAGTTAGATTTGTAGGTGACAGTAAAGGAGCGCTTAGTTGGGTAGGATGAGAACCATGAGAGAGCAGAGTCTTGTAGGCCAAGCGAGTGGAGTTTTTTGAGGAGGAGCACGCGGGTCAACAGTGTAAAAAGCAGCAGAAAGGTCTAATAGCAAGAGTAAGGAATAGTGGCCGTTTTTTTTAGCAGTTAGTAAGTCATTAGTGACATTGTAATTGACTAACCACTATAATTGTTATAATAGCGCTGTGGTCAACCATAAGCAGAAAAATCAACAGCTACAAAAGAGGTTTCCTTTCTCTTGTATGAACTGGGTGTAATGCTCAGTATCTGGTATTATTCTATATGTATGGCTCTGCACAATACTACTTCCCTTCTTTTATATGCTGGGTGTAGTTGTCAGGTTCTTATTCTTTCTGAATTGATAATGCATAGCACCACTTCTCTTCTTCTGTATGCTGAGTATAATGCTTGGTATCTTTTTATATTCTGTATGTATGAGTACTACACTGCACTTGTTTTGTATGCCGAGTGTAATTCTCAGTATCTGTTCCTATTAAGTATTTATGGACACTGCACAGTAGCACTTCTTTTGTTTCGTATGCTGGGATTAATTCCAAGTATCTGTTCTTATTCTGTATGTATGCTTCCTATGCCTTCCCTGGTTCCTCCTTTCCCCTTCTTTAACACGCTAATTATATTTTTAAATGAGACCTTTCCATTTTGCATTGCATACCATGTTTTAGACCCAGTGACATTAGCAGAGTCTCTGTGCTTTTCTATACAATGCAGACGGATCATGGCTGGTGGGAGAGGCCAGCAGGGGGCTGTACATAGCTTCCTGAAAACATTACAGCACCCTGCTTCAGTACTGCTCTTAGCCTTAGTGCAGGCAGTGGGCCTTTCATTTGGAAGACGACGTGCAAATTTAAAAATGCCTTGATGGGTGGAGTGAGGGGCTTGGCATTCCTAGGCAGGGTGCATTTGCATGCAGACCACCCTATGTAATGCCCACGTGTAATGCTGAGCCTTGCTGACTGAAAGAATTGAAATCCAATAAATTAGGGATGCACCGATACCAGTATTTCAGTATCGAGTACCGATAATTTTTTTCGGTACTCGCCGATACCAATTATCGAGTACCGGAAGTCCCATCCAGGAAGCCAGGTGGCGTGTAATGACTCGCCACCTGGCTTCCTAATTAGCCGGGCCGCGTGTAAAGACTCCCCACCCAGCTTCACGATTAACAAGAAAGTCCCCTCTCAACTCTGCACGTCCAGCCTGTCACCCCCGGGGCCTCTCCAGCCAGGATCGGCCTTCCTCCGGTACCCAGCCGGAGCCGTCTTGCTGGCCAATCATGGAAGCCGAGCGCCGTGTAATGACGCAGCGCCCTGCTTTCTGATTGGCCGGGAGGCCAGCTCCATGCTCCCTCGCTTCCCGGCCAATCAGAATGCCGGGCGCTGTGTCATTACACGGCGCCCGGCTTCCTGATTGGCCAGCTTCCCGACTAATCAGGAAGCCGGGCAGCGCGTCATTACACGCTGCCTGGCTTCCTGTTTGGCCGGGAAGTCGGCTCCATGCTCTTTCATCACAAGTGACGAGAGAGCATGGAGCTGCTTCCCGGCCAATCAGGAAACTGGGCAGCGTGTAATGATGCGCTGCTCGACTTCCTGATACAGGAAGTATCGGGCTAGGCATCGGAGCATGTGGGCAAGTACGAGTGTCTGCTCAAATACTCAGTATCGGCACCGATATCGATTACTAGTATCGGTGCATCCCTACAATAAATGAAAGGGACGGAGGCATCTCATTTCTCCTCATAAAGCAGAACTCCAGGTTAAATTATTATTAACCCTTGCAGTGGGGCTACTTTCGCGCTGCAAGGGTTAAGTGCTCATTTTGGTCTAGGGAGGAAAATAACAAAGTTATACTCACCCGATCCTAGGAGCTGGCTAGCTGTGACAGAGCTCCCTCTAGCCTATATTCTCCAATGCTGCAACGATGGTACCGTATTTGCCGGCGTATAAGACGACTCCCTACTTTTTGTGTTTTCAAATATAGGTTTTGGGCTATATTCGTCGTATAAGATGAGTATAGCCCAAATAATGTTTAAATGCACCCACTAACATGGCGGTATTCCAGAGTGTGGCTCGGGGTTAATTTTCAGTACCATAAGCGCTAACCCCGAGCCACACTCGGGATTACAGTCTCTTACCTTGTCCACGATCCCCGCTGTGTCCTCTGTCTTCCGCTGAGCCAATCATGGCAGGCTTTCTATTAATGAATACAGGCTTTGTATTCATTAATAGAAAGCCTGCTGTGATTGGCTCAGCGCGGTATACTGTATGTAGCAGAAGCTACATACAGTATACCGTATCCTTCCGTATGTACCTGGCATATAAGACGACCCCCGATTTTCAGGGGATGTTTTAAGGTCTCAAAACCCGTCTTATACACCATGTCCCTCTGCCTCATCACATTCTAGAACAGGATGATTAAAAGGACCTTAGACCGCTGCAGAGGAGGAGGTTCTAGGGACCAGTCTAAGAGCAAGCCAGCTCCAAGGATTGGGTGAGTATAACTTTAAATTTTCCTTTCTAGACACAAACAAACACTTATCCCCCTTACAGCGCGGGTTGCATTCCTGGATGCATGCTGAGCAGATTGCAAATTCATTCACTGCCACAGGTGGGCGGAGTTGAGAACTCACTGCCAAGCAGTGGCGTCACAAGGAGGGTGCGCCCCGCACGCAGTTGACACTATTGGAGGGGTGACACCAAAATGACTGACAGTCATTTTGGTGTCACCCCCCTCTAAAAAGTCAGGCACTCGGTCATGGACTGGGAGCCTGACAGTGTCAGGAGAGAGGAGGGGACCCATCGGCATACCTCAGCCCGCCGTGTGAACGTCCCCTCCTCTGTCTGCCGGCGTCTATCACCGAGATGGCCGCTGGCAGCCGTCAATTAGACGGCAGCGTGATGACGTCACACGTATGCGTGATGATGTAACGGCGGGGTGTCACCCGGTCTCCGCCCTAAGTGACACCCGGCCTCGGTACGCCCCTGCTGCCAAGGTCCCAGAAGAACCCCTCGTAATCAGCGTTACGCCTGTATTTGCCATGTTGTGATCTGCAAGTCGGTTCCCCCCTATTGATGACATTATTATTTTTATTTCAGAATCCAGGATTCAGTCGTTTTTGTTGAGCTACCTATCTACCGCCAACCAGAGAGCCAGCCCCACCCTGCTGGGTGGCCTTAGCCCCATTCAGAAGGAACTAGAAGAACTGGCTGTGAAATTTGTGCGTCTCGTCAACTACAACAAAATGGTGTTCAGTCCTTACTATGACTCCATCCTGAGCAAAATGCTGAACAAACAAGACACGCAGCCTTGAATGTGCAATCAATATATTGACTGAGATAAAGAGGAAGCACCGTCACCTCTGCTTTACATGTAACAGCTTTCAGTGTACTAGACGTGATGTACTATCACTGACCGGCACCACACACATTCATCTCACACACAGGATATCTAAAAAGCCAAATGAATATCTAATTTCCATCTACAGGGAAATTCACTACTGATAAAAATCAGAGGAGCCGACCTTTCCGGGTGAGGAATTTATTCGCTCAATCTGGAAAAGCTGTATCAATTCCATAGTGGGGATTTAGGACCGATTTCTATAATGACAGGGATTCCACAGATCTCAGGAAGATGATATATTGCTACTTTGCATCAGTTTTCTTTTTGTAGCTAACGTGTCTCTTGAAACAGGTGCAATTCATCTGCTTACACTTTTCTTTAGGCCTTGTGGCACAGTTATAAAACAGTAAAGCTGGCTGTAAACCTAAAATATTCATCCCCTCCTTTAGCTAGTTATATCCTTGTTGGAAGACAGGCAATCTTTTGCATAGCAGAGAGGGGGGTGATTTTACAGGTTAGAAAGCCTTGTTTGAAGTGACATTAAGGGCAAAAGTTGTCCCTACCCCCACAGTGCTCATGTAAGGACTTACCTTAAATTATGCCATCTTAATCCGATCTTCATCTGCTTTCCGCTAGTTTTTAGCTGTCCCTTCGTCCTCCTCTTCTCTCATGTCCCACGGTGTCTGTGCGGGTCCACACTGTTCCATAGACTTACCTTGTGCCTCTCCTCGTCTCCCGGAGATACACCTCATACCTACAAATAATTTCTAATAGGTAATTGCTCTCTGCATCCCCAAAGTTGTCACCACCCTAAGCGGAAAGAAAATATCCCAAAAAGCCAATTCTGTCAACTAAGAAAATGTGTACACTTATTGAAGATTCTACCACAAAAAGTATGATCCTAAAGGAGAAATGTATGGATATAGGGTACTCTTCTAAAGGGATCGAGGAATCTTATCAAACAAATCTAGAACCCCTATCTAAGTCCATCAAACAGGATCATGATTATATCTCAGAAATAAATCTCATCACTCAGTACAACCAAAAATACTGTTCTATGGAACACATTAAAGAAAACATTGGCATATCCTACTTCAGGACCCTTCATTAGGTCCCTCAGTATCACCAGTCAAGATTTGTTGACAGAAAGTCCCTAAGAGGGGAATTTATAGGTAAAGGGATCAAGGAAGTGTATCACACATATTTAGGACCCCTACCTAAGTCCATCAAACAAGATAATTGAGTCCCAGAAACAAAACTCATCACTCACTTCACCCAAAAATACCATTCCATAGAACACATAAAAAAACCACTGGCATATCCTACTTCAGGACCCTTAGGGTCCCATCGTACCACCAAAGCCAACAATTGTTTACAGAATGGCCCCCGACATTAAAAACAATAATGCTCCTAGTAGGTTAAAAATGGTTAATACGAAAACCAGCTCCTCTAGATTCTTTTTGAGTAACTTAGTAGGTACGTATCAATGTAGAAAGCAGAAGTGCTTCATGTGATGATCGGCAGGTCTGGTCCCACTGTACTACCACCAATATGTGACGAAATTTTAGGCCAGGATTAACAGCGATTGTCGCTGGGGTTGGTTAACTCTGCAGTTAACCCTTTACATACACAGTTAATAGCTGTTACCACATGTTTTAATTAAGCACGCACCGTTCCCAGCAAATGCTGTGACAATTCAAACCATAAGCAATGCCGGTATTGCTCACTGTCCCTCCAGACAGGAATATAGCAGGTCTTATAATATTCTATTCACAGAGAGAAGGATTTTTTAATTTCCTATTTAGAGCATAGACATAAGCTTAACGATTATAAAGAATTGTTTTTAATAAAGGAAAAGGTGCAGAAAAATATACAGAAAAGATGTTACATAAAATAGAAAAATAATACAACAGTAATACAAAAAGGATTAAGAATTAAATTAAAGTCCTGGGTTCTGTGGGTTCCAGCAGAGTTCAGTCAAGTAAGCAGAAAATGGATCTGGTATTGGCTCTCTCGAAACAAGTCTTGGCAGATGTTCTGTTCTTGATGTGAAACGAGAGCTGTAGCTGCCTTCTGCAGCAGCTTTTTGTTGGCTCTCTAAAGGGTGTCACTGAGCCAGCCCACCACCCAATCAGAAAGGCTAAAGCACTTTAAGACCCCTCATCTGGCCCTCAAATAATGTCAGTTTTACCAAAGCAGCCATACCTTTATGCACCCACATGCTACCACCTGATAGACCATAGATCATTGTGCATTATGAAATCAGCTTTGTATAGATACCGGGCTTGATATACCTGTGGTTTATGCCTCCCTGAAAAGGGTTATTGTGTGTCTTTAGCCTTCTGTACCTCATAAGCCAGAAGTGCTTGGTATGTCTGCGACCAGTGTTTCATGATTAACAATATATATATATATATATATA